TTTGCCGTTTTCTAAGAGACGTCACGAGTACTACATACAATTCCATAGTATTACTACATAGAATTCCAGGCAACTATTGCATTTTACTATACACAAGCTTTCATATTTAGTATATGACATTTGATGGACGTGTACATTCAAACATTTTTGTCATTGCATTGAAAACGTCGATTTTTTTTTGTGCCAACAAAACAACATTTGCGGGAAGTTTTACTGCATTTATTATGAAGAAAAGTGCAGCTGAAAGTTATCGTTTGCTTTTGGAAGTATATGGGGAGCATGTTCTATTCGAAAGAATAGTTTTAACGCGCACTGCTTTAGAAGTGATGATTTCGATAAAAAATAAAGAATGTGAATTTGCACCGAAAAATTAAAAGATAATCAACTGGAAGCATTACTTGATGAAAATCCATGTCAAACGCTGAAAAAATTGTTAGAGACATTAAATGTTGCTCAATCAACATGTAATGTTAGCAAACGTTTAAAAGTAAAATTTCATTTAAAAAACGGCGGAATCTTATTCAAACGCCCAATATATATGTGCGCGCGCGCATATGTGTGTGTGTGTGTGTGTGTGTGTGTACATAAAATATAATAAATAAGAGATTTTAAAAATTTACTTTTTGATAGGACTATTTGGTATGAATTATTGTGTGGTGAATGGCCTTTTAGAGGTCAACCTACTGAAGCTATTATTTGGCAAGTTGGAAAAGGAATGAAACAATCTTTATCATATTTACAAGCTTCCCGTGATGTGAAGGTACATATAAAAATTAGACCATATTTGTGCATATTTATACGTTCTATACATATAATGTTCTATACATGTAATGATTTGTTTATAAATTTTATATACTAGTTTATACATTATTTATAAATTATAGAAATCTTATAAATTTTTTATAGGATGTTCTAATGTATTGCTGGTCATACCATGCAAAGAGACGTCTTGATTTTATAGAGATAATAATCTTACTTAAAAGGCTGTCTCGCAAAAAATTAGCGCGTAGTTCTTCTAATCCTACAAATTGTACTCGTTCTGCAGAATCTATGTTTTGAATACATTTATGTTTATTTAAATGCTGTTATTCTTATAATGTAAATATAGAATTATTGCCAATTCCTTTGTTCAAGAAAAATAAAATAAAAACCACTAAAAGGTTCGCGCTTGCTTGAATTATTAATTTATTAAAATGTGCAAAGAAAGAATATTAATATAATTATAAAAATGTGAAACTGTTGCGAATTAAATACATATCTTTTTTTGTGAATAAGGATCATAATATTAAAGTCTCTCTCTTTAAGAGAAGATATGTATATATTTATTAACTTATATTTATTAAATATATGTAAATATCTTTGTATTAAATATATATAAAATCTACAAATATCTGTAAATAGTAAGTAATATAATTTTCGAAACAATGATTTTTATATAAATATTATAAAACAGCTCTTTAATGCACGTTTTAAGAAAAACTTCTATTTTCGAAGGTATATCTTATTGAGAGAATAATAGGCGACAGACTATTTGTTTATTAAATTCTATATTATAAATAAAATTATTAGATGATTTATTATAGATACATATCTATTATAATTATAAATAAATGAGTATAATTTTTTCTCAAACCTTTTGAAAAAGATATTTTAGATCAATATTTATCGTATTTCATTATAGTTTATTTTCTATGATGTCTGTTCTCTTGTGCTGTATTTACATTGTATTAAGCAGCTCTCATGACGATCGCTCCTATGTTTCAGTCCGAATGTTAAAAAGATTAATTATTATCACAGACTTATATAAGTTGCGTTAATTACACACACACGCACAGTAATTTATTTCATTTTTCTTCAGTTATCGTACACGTACGTGCAAAAAATGAAAATATTTACTTGACTCGAATCCGTGTGTATTATATGTATTTCATACATATAATGAATATGTTTTTTACATATAACCGTGCAAGTAATAGGTAACATAAGAATAAATTATTTGTTTTACATATATAATTTTTTTGCTGTTTGAACACTTCTAAGCCTTTTCCTCTTTCCTTCTTTCATCATTTTAAGGTTTTTTTTTTATAACTATATTACGAAAGCTAGATAAATTATTCGACAATTTATACTGTTTAATTAAGTATAAATCTTTTAACATTTATAGGATTTTTAAATGAAACATATTTTAATAATTATTTAATATTTTATTTGATCAATATAAACATATATTAATAAAAAAAATTTTATTCGCTATACCAAATAAATGAGGAAATACAAATAGTAAAAAGTATATATCTAGTACACAACAAAATACGTTTATTAATATATCGTATTGCTTTCGATACAATGTAACTTTTTCTTATTTTAATAAATGTTTTATATATATATATTTTTAAATGTTATTAAAATGAGCATGTTATTTTTTATTATCACAATTATCAAATCTATATATATAAACGCATATCGAATAAATGGTATAAATTACTAAATATATTAAAATATATAGCCAATTTTTTTATTCAGTAAATATTTATTTTTCATCTAAAATCTTATTTTTATTATGTAAGAATTTATTATTTAAGAAAAAATTAATTGTTAACTTATAATTATTGATTCTGAAAAAGTACAAGTTTTAACCATTACACATTTTTTGTAATTCTTGTAATTGTCTTCGGAGATGTATAGTTCGCAATTTATTTAATGCTATTCTTTTTTCAAATGTTTGTACCAAAGGCTTTGTAATGATATCTGTTATATGAACCAACGCACGTGTCCTAACTGCAAATAAAAATTATCTGAACTTGGATTTTGAAATCTATGTACTCCAAATACTAAATACTATTATTTAAATTGTATTTTTAATTTATAAATAAATAAATAAATATATATATTAGGTGTTGGAATTAATTCGTAGCGTTTTTAATGAAAGAATGTTATTTATTTCACATGAGCATTAAAAAATACATTAATGAAAGTACTTCCCATCACTTGTAAAACGCTACGAATTAATTCCAACACCTAATATATATATATATATATACATACCAGCATCATTATGAATACTGGCGAGGACATCTGGATGATCTTTACAGGCTTCAGCCATATCTTCTTCTTCTTGTACCAAAATTTTTGACAAGTCTGTCATTGTCTGCAACATTATTTAATTTCAGATAGAGTTCTCTTCGCTTTAAATTTCTTTACAATACAAAAAAAACATTAAAATTTCTTACTCTTAAACATCTGTCTGAAATATCTGGAGTATGTACTATTTCTAATGGTATTTCTGTAGCTTCACCATTATCCGATTGAAAACAATTTAAAAAAATTTCATGTTCCTTTAAAGTAAAAAAAAAACATTATTATAACATTTATTAATCTATATACTATAATTTATCTATACAAACAACTTTAAATTATTTCATAGAATATTTATCACATAAGTTACTGCACTAAAAGTTTTATATTCATTATTGATACTATTAATTTACTACTAAAGATTTTGTTTTTTAATCACATAAAGACTACATCAATAGCTGTGAATTTATTGATAAAGAAATTAAGATAAGGAAAATATGTACTTTTGATTCTTTGCCCTCTGAAAATACTGAGAATATTAAGCCTACAAAACTGTGATCCATTGTTTGATAAGTAGCTTGAGTTCTAACATCTGCAAAACAAAAGTAATTTTATGTAAAGATTTTAAATGCAAACTATATTATTTAAACGTTTTGACAAATACACAAAGTATTTGTAACACACCAACATGTGATGGACAAACTGTAATATGTGGATGTGAATGATACCAGCCAAGGACGCGCATAGGTCGATTTAATTCTACAGTTAATCGTTCAGCTTCAGCAGCAGCTTTCAGTAATTGTTCTGACGATATCTCTACTCTGTCTTTCTTCTTATCTAGACGTCGCAAAATAATAACAGCTGATATTTTTGCTACTCCACACTCAAACTAAAAGGGGGATAATTAATGCTTTGATTGCCTCATTAATTGTATAGGAAATAATAAAGAAATATCATGAACATAAGATGTTCTAAGTTCCACATACATTACCGATAAGTAATCCCATTACTTCAAAGTTCTCTGTAGATAAAGCATGCTGCAAGCATACCATATAGACATCTGTTTGCAGCTCTACTTTTTGCAATGGAGAATCGTCCATTATTTATGAAGATATTAATCTTTTGGAAATAAAATACATAAATTTGAATAAATTCATAATTGCTGAATTTTACAATCGCATTTGAGATATTACAAGTAACGCTCTAGTTGCTTAGATTTCTAGAACAAAAATATAATCAGTATAGGCCTGTTATTCGTAGCTAAACTTCTGTTTTAGTCAAAATTTAGAGAATGAATTATTTTCTGAGAATGAACAAATGGACTATCATGCATGAGCATTTTATATTATTAAGAGAGCTGCTTCTTAGACAGAGAGGTTTCTGTTTCTCCCAAGCTCCTTTTAATAAGATAATTATATACGGACGAGATGACGTGATAGTATAGTAATTTATGCATAACCTACACCACTTATGAATTGACGCCCACGTACGTCGATTTGTCCAATGTTAAATTAGGTGTACATGTAGTCTGACTTCGAGTAACATTTTTTCGTGCGGACTGAATGTCATTACTTAAGATATATCTAATCTAGTGCGTTACTTGTATGGTCTCTCGAATGTTTTGTTGTTTTTTATTCAGCAAACAATACCGGCGGACTATGAACTGAGTTTGGAGTCCAGATAAATAGCGTGAACTCGACAATCCGTCAAAGTGTGTTGCAAAAGCCAGACTGAGCCAAACAGTCGATTAGTGAGCGAGTCGACAAATCTCTCCCTTGTCAAAAGTCGAGAGAGAAAGAGATTCCCCGCATTCCTCGCTCCCCCGATCAAACTTGCAACGATCTTTCCCAATCTTCCCCTTCGTCTGCCTTCGTCCACTTCGCTAGTCTCGCTACTCGCCTCTTCGCCGTCAACGTAACTGGGCCAACGCGACGAGCGTTGTGTGAATCGGGATTGATCGGCGATTATATTACGAATTTACGAACGAACGATATTTCACTAAAGTGAGCATCGTGACATTCAAGAAGTGCCAAAGGGGAATCCCTAAATCTCATGGGATCGTATTAAGTGATAAAGTCAAATCTCTATCGCCGTATGTTACGTCGATAAGTGCCAAAGTATCAGCTGGCGGAGATCAATTCTAGTCAATTTCGTTTGATCTATGCCGATTTATGCCATTTATATTTAACAGGCTTGTGCAACGCAATTATATCACGGCGCATGCCGGATATAATACGGACTTTAGCGCGCGAGAACGAAATATTTAGCGCGTGCCAGCGCTAGCATCTATCAGTTGTGTGAATACTACACACACACACACACACACCACACACACACATACATACACACACACACACATACGTGCAACGTATATATCAGTATATATGCGCACACCACACGCACACACACACATACACACACACGCGCGCGCGCGCATACATGCCCGCACATACATACTTCTTGATTGCTCGCACAATCCCACTTTTACCCACTTTGGAGTTTAATCAGAGGTGGTGTGATGCGCGTACAGTGACGCTCGAAGATGCTCATAAACAGTTTTTTGTCATCGTGCGGCGGGGTAAGTCGACAGATTTTGAGGTTATGTGTTATCACAGAGTAACTAGTAGTCTGATAAATCGATAATAATTTGTAAACTCATGAATTACATTATCTTTAACAGCGTGACACGATTAACACCGGCAACACTGAGAAACTTATCGCGTCATGGTAGACAATCGAACACCCATTCACTCGGAAAATAAGTATTGTATGGTAAATGCGGATCAGGACAACCCAAGGGAAACACGCGCGAAAGAAACGATGCCTTCGGAGCTGAGGTCGATCAGCGTGGCCGACTGGATCACAGTCACTGTCCTCTGTTTCGTAAATCTCATAAATTATATGGACCGCTTCACGATTGCTGGTGAGTGCTTGCTTTGTTTTAGGAACAATTGTCGAATTGATAGATTTCTGAGAAATCTTCTACAATTTATAAAATGATTTCCTGGTTAATCATCAACATTTCTCTTGGTTTATACAAACATACTTAATATTTTATTTCAGGAATATTGACGTACATCAAGCATGACTTTGATATCGGTAACGACAAGTCTGGGCTATTGCAAACAGCATTCATTTTGAGCTACATGATATTTGCGCCGTTATTTGGATATTTAGGAGATCGTTACAATAGAAAATTTATTATGAGCGGTGGTGTATTTTTATGGTGCCTAACAACATTTATTGGTTCTTATATGAAAGTAAGTTATCTAGAGTCTGCCTTTTTATTCTTATACCGAACTGAACCTTCTTTGTTGCCTTTTCCAAATATCAAGCGCATACCTATTTTGCTTTAAATTCTAAAAGTGTACATTAGTTCAATTACATCAATAACATCTTTTTTTTTGACATCGAATGAACTCTAGGACAACACCTCTTTCATCAACTTCTGATTAAATTAATCTACCATCAACTCGCAAAAGTGTTTTAAATTAATCTAATATTAACAGCAGTTTAATATATCAGAGCATCTTATTTTTTCTTTTCTGAGACAAACTGTGTTTAGTTCTCAAATTGATAATGGTGATGATTGAGTTAATATCACAGAGTTGATGAAAGAGATGTTATACTCAAAGTAAACCTATAATCAAATATAAGAATCTTATTAAAATTAGATGTGTTATTACATCTTTCTAATAATATCAGGTTGTATCTAATGAAGAGATTCATTAATACATCTAATTTTGTTATGTGCAAAAAAGTATCGTATGAAATATAAATTTGATATTATTAAGTAATATTTTTAATTTATTTCAGACCTTTGGATGGTTTCTATTCTTTAGGACACTTGTTGGCATAGGAGAAGCTAGTTACTCTACAATTGCGCCAACAATTATTAGTGATTTATTTATAAAAGATGTACGTTCTAAGATGCTCGCCCTATTTTACTTTGCTATTCCAGTTGGAAGGTACATTGATTATGATCTGCATAATTAAAATATATGTTGCTTAATATGTTGCTTATATGTACATACAGTGAGAGCAAAAAATATTTGCACAAGGAAATTTTTTATTAAAAAAGTTTTATTTATAGAAAATAAACATTAATTAGCAATTTTATACAATGAATACATTTTGTTTTTACCTTAACAAATGAGCTTCGCATATATTTTTTATTTTAGAAGTTAAACGACTAATAAAAACTTAAGTTTTTCGACTGTACGAATACTTTTTGAGCATCCAAACAGTATAATTTTTAATTTTCGCTTATTTTTCAGATGATATATTTTCTGTAATTAATATACATCTTTTTGGTATATATAATTTTAAGAAACATATAGTCTATTTTATTCTTTATGAATAAGTTGTTAATTACCTAGCAAGAAATGAAACGTCAATTAAACGTCAAATCGATATCAAATTGGTGTTGAAATCATCGTATCGATATTGATTCAACATCAATTCAATGACTCATTTCTTGCTGAATAATATTTACTTTTTAAAAATAAAGTTTTTTTAAAGAATATTTGCTCTGCACGAATACTTTTTGCATTCACTGTATATATTATTTTAGTGGTTTAGGATATATTACTGGAGGTGAAACAGCTCGTATTACTGGTCAATGGCAATGGGGGTTGCGTATTACTCCAGTATTAGGAATTGTAGCAATTCTTCTGTTACTTTTTGTAGTAAGAGATCCTATCAGAGGTGAACGTGAAGGAGGTATTCATTTGACAAGTACCACATGGTCATACGATATCAAGCAGTTATTAAAGAAGTAATTATATCAGTAATATTATATTTTTTTTTCATTAAAGTATTATTGTATTATTATATGGAATTTATTCTTTTATTAATACTTTTATTGATAGTCATATGAATGATCTATGTCATCTATCATTACTAATTGTCCAAATAAAATAGAACACAAATTCTGTACATTATAACAGTTTTTAACTATCTGTCAGGGTACGAGACTGAGATCATGATAAATATTAGAATATGTATTTAAAAATATAATAGAGTTATCTAATTTATTTCTTTTATTATACAATATATAATTTAATGAATTTGATTAAACTTCAATTATTTTTTCACCAAATTATTTAATTGTAAATAAAGACCGAGTAATAGCGCCACTATCACAGTACATAATGATATTTAAAAAATGACAATAGAGATTGATTTTAAAATGATAAACGATCAAATTCAACTACATTATTTTTTAAATAATTTCTTATAATACTATGTTTCTTTTAATACTATGTTTCTTATATTATTGACATAATTTTCAGTTCAAGTTTTATGCTGTCTACTGCAGGATTTACTTGTGTAGCGTTTGTCACTGGTGCACTGGCGTGGTGGGCGCCAACATATTTACAATTAGGTTTCCAATTACTTCCTTATGGAGCAAATGTTGATCCAGAAGAGTACGTTTTTTTTTTTAAATATTTACATATAGTATGTTTATTTTATTATATAAAAATGTATATTAATTATATATAATTGTATTTATGTGTGTTATAATGTTTTAGTGTTGCATATAAGTTTGGCTTAATTGGTATGGCATCTGGTCTAATAGGTGTACCTTTAGGCTCTGCTATAGCACAAAAATTACGAACTTACTGGCAACAAGCTGATCCTCTGATATGTGCCGTAGGCCTTTTAATAAGTGCTCCTCTGTTATTCTTTGCTATGATTACAGCCAATACAAATTCTACTCTTTGTTATATATTAATATTTTTTGGTCAGTTATCATTAAATTTGAATTGGGCTATTGTAGCAGACATATTACTGGTAGGGAACAATATATTAAAAAATATATTTTTTTTTATAATTATGTATTTTAATAAATTTAATTATCTTTTATTATATTGTAGTATGTAGTAATTCCCACAAGAAGATCCACAGCAGAGGCATTCCAAATACTCATTGCACACGCTCTTGGAGATGCAGGCAGTCCTTATCTTATTGGACTTGTATGTAAAAATAAACTTACTGTACTAATATTACAAAATATTAATTATTAATCGTTTTTAGATATCAGAAGGATTAAAGTCCATATTCTTGTCGGGTGTAGAAAGACAATCTGCTATTTATGATAGTCAAAATATAAGCATAGAGTTCCATAGTCTACAATATGCAATGTTTCTTACAATGTTTGTAGAAGTATTCGGTGCTCTATTCTTCTTCCTGACAGCATTGCATATACAGAAGGACAAGGCATTAGTTGATCTTACTATTGCGGGTAAGTAAAGAAATATATCTATTATTAGTTGAGGTAAAAATTGATGTTTAGGTAACGCACTGTGTTTTGCATGTCTACAGTTGAGAATTCTTCTACTAATAACTTGATGTTTGAGATATATATATGTGTGTGTGTGTGTGTGTGTGTGTGCGTGTGTGTGCGTGCGCGCGCGTGTGTGTGCGTGTGTGTGTGTGTGTGTGTGCGTGCATGCGTGTGTGCGTGCGTGTGTGCGTGCGTCCGTGCGTGCGTGCGTGCGTGCGTGCGTGCATACACACATATATATATATATAAATATTGTTATGACAATTATAAACTGTTCTCATATATAAGATATATTAGTGCAGTATAAATAGTTTTTGCAAGAATATTTTTTATATTTAGTGTCAAACATTATATATACATAAACATTAATATATATGTCAAAATTATCACAAGTAAATTCTATTAAAATTTTTTTATACTTCAAATAAGCACGATTTTATGAAAAATTATATTCAATTTTTTTTCATTTTTAAGGATAAAGTCTGTATTTTGAAAAGATTTTGAATAGATTTTGAATTTATCTTCCCCTATCTTCATTCTTTTAAAAAATAAAGATGTGTTACAGCTCCAAAAAATTGCATAATTTGACACACTCTACGAGATGGAATGAATTTTTTTTTTGTGAATATGATCATCTTAAAATTGTTAAAATATGGACTTTTCCTGCAAATTGGAATAAAAGAAAGTTTGTTATGATTCTTTGCGCAATAACGGCGTATAAAACTTATCTGTGCATTTTCGTCAGTTGTACCATGTGTGCGTG